GACCACAGAACAAGGCAATGGGCGGGCTGGGTGGTTGCCTACCTTTGGGTCACATGGTCCGGCTATATTCAATGCCGCTCTTGGCTGAAATGCCCGACCAGGGCAAAAGGTTGCAGAGGATGTTCTGGGCTTGGCGATAAATCCGCTGGGGAATTGTGCAGGGGCTCAGATTGGCCAAAGTCGAGCCGATGTGCTGAAGATAGTCAGTGCCCTGCTGTTAAGGAACCCACCAGGCCAGGAGAGTAGCTAAAAGCCAGGAACAGCAGCCCAGAGGGAATCATGTGGGCCCACAGTTACCCACGAGCCCCACAGCGAAGTGTCCCAACCCAGACCTCTTGATTTGAGTACCATGTCCCTGTAAAAGAATGAGCCTCACCCGGATCCAGGAGGTTGTTTCTCAAAACTCACAGACCGGCCAAGGAGCAGCCAGATGATTAGCAAAGGATATAAAATGGTCCACGGTGGGTGTCCCCCATTGATGTAGAGGACGTAAGTGAAGCCATCTTTGAGGACCCCTCTGATGGAATAGTAGTAGGGCAAGTAATGATGCTGCTTAAAGTCTCTGTTTTCATAGAAATGTATTGCCGTGTTGTTGGTGGTCAGGACATGTAGGTAAATGGCCTTGCAGTGATCCTGGGCAGTGGTCGAAATGTGATCTTTCAGGTTTTCCAACAGAAGAGAACCTGCCACCAGACCAGCAGCCATGTTAGAAAGGACCTACTGCCATTCATTATATTGTTCAAACTGATCAATTCACAGATAATTGGCTCTTTATTCTGGAGCAGGAATTGCTGAACACTCCTTCTCCACTCCCAGGCCATCCTCTTTCATACCAGGGAATCCACATAGGATAAGGTCTTGCCAGGATAGGGGACACATACAATTACAGACTAGGGTCAGACCATTAAGATCTGCATTTTTAAAAGTAGCTCTTGCTCTCCTGACACATGCATGAAGCCAGTTTTTCTATACCATTTAAATACTTGCAAACAATACAAATATTAAAAACACGGTTACCTATGCCATGCTTTCGAAATTCTTTCACCACTCCTAGGCTTAGAATGTAAGCAACCTGAGTATCAACTGGAAAACCAGAAGCTAAAATATCACCATCCTAGAGAGAAACTCAAGAAAGACACAGTGAGGATACAGACGTACCAAGCCTCTTTTTCAAGCATGCTCAATGTCTATGGAAAATCTGGGAATGGTTTGGATAGGAAGGCAGCGAAGGAGGGTTTCGGGCGCATGGGCAAATCTCCCCTTATGCTCAAAGGGTTAAAAAAAAAGAGGAAAGGAAACAGGTGGTTCCCAACAATTATCAAGAGGATAGTCGGAAGAGGAGACCTTGAAGTCCACCCCAAGTCTCTGTTACTGATGCAATCTGCCCCCTTTTAAAGCTTCCCCATAAAAGCCTGAAGATCAGGGAGTTGCACAAGAACAATTTGGTTGGGAGATAGAATGGTGCAAAGGCCCCCAAAAGCAAAGGCTGTGCGGGGCAGAGCCTCAGCATTTTACCTCTTTGTGCACTTTGGCTCGACTCTTGATCTCAGCAACTATCATGCCCACAATGGTGCCACGGTAAGTCGCAGCCAGGGAAAAAAACTTTTGGTTGGAGGTGATGTCCTGATACCAGGAGTCAGGGTATCTGTGGGAAAACAGCAGAGTAGTAAAAGGAAGGAACCAACAATTGTCACATATACAGGGATATCTGTTTCAAACCACAACAACCCAATAAAATGAAAATGTTGGACATTAAACATAATACAGACCAACTTTGCACTAATTATGTAATTCCCATCAAATACTTTTGTTTACTAGGAACATTTCTGAGAAATTTATATAATTCATTTTAATATTTTAAATTCTTAAAATACTTAATTTTAATAACATTTACTAAATATATCATGCAAGTTCCAATTTTATCTTATCAGAAGATGCAATGTTTCCAAGTCAGTGACTCCTACAATTTTGCCTGCAGTTTCACTGGCACTAGAAGCCCTCCAAAAACACATGGGCCTCCTCCCCAGCTGTTCTGTGCTTATGACAGGCTCCCAGCAAGACAATAATATCCAGGCAAGAATAGATTATTGCTGGGTAGGGAATTGAACGAGATGATAATTTCATTCATGAAAATATTATCACTTCCAAGTTGTCAAGTGTTTAAGTGGAAATCCAGTTCTATATTCCTTTTTACACAGTTCAAGGGCAGATTTCATTCTGCCCTAGCAAGTGGCTATAGGCAGACAAATGCAACATACTCAATGGGGAACCAATCACCACAGAGCTGTTTGACCGTGTCTATGTCATCATGACACAAAAGGCGAAGGTATATTTCGCTGAGTGCGGTCGGAGGCACCTCCTCTGTCATTCACACCTGCAAAGAAAAGAGATGCAGTTGGTGGTTGCTGCAACAGGTCCTGTTCATCAGCCCTAGCCCAAATCCAGAGGTTCTAAAGTTGCAGGAGTCCAGTTTCCAAAGCCCCTAAGTCTGTTGTTATCTACTCAAGCAATTTATCTACTGCTTCTTTTGAGCTACAATCCTTTTCCCACAGAAAATTACTGATAAATATTAAGCCAGCAAGGCCTGAACGGGCTGAGTAGGCATGGTTAAAACAATGCTTAGCAAAATGCTAAGCTGACTGACCAAGTGCAAGACAGCAAGAGTACATATGTTACATGACACGGTAAATTGATACCCGTACTTTACTCTTAAACAAAAATGCCAAAAAGCCACATTAGTTACATGATAAAATCAAACCTCAGCCAGGGATCTAGATAATAGTTGTGTTGCTATTGCATAAAGCACTATAAATAACCGTATACACCCACAGCGATACAGTTGTTTGCCTGTCAGGAAGGAGAGAAATTAAAAATACACGAGGTCAGAAATACATTGCGGTCAATTGGACAGATGCATGGAAAGGAACGCGGCAAAACTGCTCGTCTTGATTCTTCCCAGAACATCTCTTGTTATTCAGCGCATGGGCGATTTAAGGTTGACCTATTTCCATGTAAGCGCCCAGCCCCGACAACACAACGGAATCCAGACTTCCTTATGAAGCCAGTCAAGTCCTCCATCCCGCCCCAATTAGGCAACAAAACTGCCCCTATGAAGCCCGCATTTCCCAGCAAGCTTTCCGGGAGCTGCTTTCCTTTAACAGCGCAGCGGGGCGGCCTTCCCGACTGACGCCAAGCGGCTCAAGCGGCTTCGCTCAATAACGCTGGAGGCCGTGGCTGCTCCTGGAAAGCCGAGCCGCCTTTTTGCGGCGGCGTTCTTCGGCCCCGAGGCGAAGCGCCTCCTGCGCCGCTTCTTCTCGGCCGCTCGAGAGCTTCGGAAGGCGCCCTTCGTTCTTCTCGCCCATCCCGGCCGGGAGCTCGCTCGGAACTTTGGGGCGGCGGGGCTCCTCTTGCCCTGGGCGGGGAAGAGGGGCGGCCGGGGAGCCTCCGGTCCACACCCGTCCAGCAGGGCCGCCGGGACCCCTGGAAGGCCAGCGCCGGCGGGGATCCGGCGGGCGAGTCGCGCTTCCCGGGCGGTGAGCGGAGCGAGCGCGGCCTTCGCCCGGTCCCCGGGAGAGCCCCCCCGGCAAAGCCCGACAGCCGCGGCCCTGACCTCGCGAGAAGCGCCGGCCCTCGCTCACCTGAGAAGGGGCGGCGGCTGCCCCAGCTCCTCGCTCAGTGCATCCCGGACCAGAGGCGGCGGCGGCGGCGGCGGCGGCGCACCCCGCAATAAGGCGCCGCCCCATTGGCCGCCGCAGTGCCACCTTACTGGTATGACCTGAGGAAGCGAGTTGGCGCAGGCGCAGTTCCTCCACCCGGAGCGCGGCTTCGCCCGAGCGAGCCTCCTCGCCCAAAGGCAGTCTACCGGCTGCGGCCTTCTCCTGGGCCCTTCTCCCGCGGAGACCGCAACCGGCAGCCCGCCTCGGGGCTGCTCCTGGCCATGGAAGCTCCACCGTCGTCGTTCTCTCTCCGCCGAGCAGAGACGGAAGCCCAGGAGGGCGGTTGAGCTCCGCTCATCGGCGGAGAAACGCTGGAATTCCTAATCTGACGGCTCTGAACAAAAGCCAAGGAATAAATTGGGGCGCAGCTGTCAGAAGCAGCCCTAAGAATGAATTGCTGCGAAACAGGTCACTGGAATACACGCCATCTCTAAACTGTGTTGCATCTCGAAAGAGAAGTCAGTTTTGACCCTGTGGAACTTCTGTGGGAATCATTCATGGTCGGACCAGAAGGCTGCTTCCCAAGTGTGATTTGAGCAAAACACCTGCTCTTCTCTGCTGCAAAGCCAAGTCCTTCCACTTTGATGAATATATAAGTTGTGCATCCCGATTTCAAAGAATGAAAGTGGTTTAAGTCAGGAAGTAATCTGGCCTTTAAAACAAGTTCTCAACAATTTATAATTTCTGTGAAACTTCAAGGGTCCAACAAGGAGGAATACTGACATCTCAAGTCCAGTAATGCATCTTTTCCTTAACCATGAAATGCATTTAAAACGGGAAAGTCATCTCTTGAAGATGTCATACACTTTTAAAGAGAGGGACTGCTACAGAATGTAAACTCTTCCAAGTGGGCCTCTGCTTATCATAAAACTTTCCTAATCATAATTTGTCAGCTAACTAAAAAGATATTTCAGTGAACGTTTTCTTTTATCAAATTTGGATTTACTATCCAACTCCTTGTATAGAAAATGCTAGAGACCACGAGTTTTAAAGCAGAAATCTGTTGTTTTAAAAATGCATTCAGGTTTTTCACATAAAAAGATTCACCAAAACAGCTTACAAAATGTGATTTAACTATTCTTTTGCCATTTTTACATAACTATCCACTCCTTTTGGTTGGGAGGCAGGAAAAAAAAAGTTACCCAAAAACATTATTGGTAAAAAACAAACAAACCACAATCTGCTAGCTTCCTCTATAGTTGTAAACATCATACCAAGTCGACAATAGGACCAAAAAGGCTCTTGCTCATTCAAAAGCTGGAACTGTACATCTTATGGTCGATTCCAATTAAAGACAATCTCCTTCTTTTAAGACCTGTTTTCTAATAAATATAGAAATCCCACCCTCCCCAAGGCATGAAAAAGACGAAGTGCTGGAGCCAAGCCTTCAGCGAATGGGCCGGTATGGAAACGCTATGCCTGGCATGAAGGCCTGCACAGGATGAGTGGCGTGGGCAGGGTATCCAAGCGGAGGGGTGTGGATAGGGGGATAAAATCCTGGGGGCAGAGCAGCATGGGCTGACGGTTGGACTGGACCCGAAATCACCAGCTGGAGCAAGCTGCGGAAGGAGAAGAGACATGCCTCAGTGGTGAATAGGTTAGCATCACCCCTCTGCCCTGCTTCCATGAAGTATGGCACACTTCCTTACTTGTTATGTGGCAACCCAGAGCACACTGTCCTTAGATTCTCTGAAAACAGAGGACACAGTAATCAGAATAAGGGTTAAAAACCAGCGTGGTCCATCTGCTTTAATACAACTGCCCCATCCAAGACTGCCCCAGATGACCCAGAAGGCTGCAGGAGCATAAGGGAAATTAGAAGGAGCAGATCTGCAAATAGAGTTGTTCCATATTGTCCCCACCTTTCCTTTGCTCAAAAACATGCCCTCAGGTTGACCATTCGCAAAATACTTACCTCTTGTCCAAAGTAACACTCCAGAGGCCATGGCCACTTGCATGACCTGGGCCAGCCGGTCCAATGCCAGCTCGATCTCCTTGGCTGCATGGAGAGGGTTCAGCTTGTCAGAAAGAAGGCGCACGTCCTCCACCAGGGAAGCCATTTGCTCCCCAGTCACCAGCCCAAGGCGTCCATACAGGTTCTTCTCGGTCAGGTGCCCCTGAAGCAGCATCAGCACCTGAAGGATGCTGAGGTGCAGCTTGGAATACAGCAGGTGGCAGTCCCTGTCAAAGCTGTCCAGCAAATCCATCTTCCCGCCAAAAGCCCCATTGGAGGGAGGCGGCTTTTGTCTCTTGTAAGCCAACGGGGCTTTCACGCACCAGCAGATCAGGCCACAGAGTGGAGTAAGCTCCAGAAAGCCAATGGGCGGGCTTGTAACAATAGGTGTGTTCAGAAAGGTGATCAGGATCAACCGGGGGTCTTCAAAAATCCAAGAGACGACCATCTCCAGCAAATCAGGGGAGGGGATGAGGTCATCTGGAAAAGGGTGGTAAAATGTTGGGTGAGAAGGTAGCTGATCAACATGTGGCTGGGACTCTTGGCTAGAAAATAGATTTGAATTTTTTAAATCTTACCGTTATTTGTTTTATAAGTAACTCAAGGTGAACATAACCAATGCTTCTTCCTTCTATTTTCCACACAACCACAACTGTGTGAGGTGGGTTGGGCAGAGACAGTGACTGGCCCAAAGTCACCCAGGGGGCTTTCATGCCCCAGGGAGGCCTAGAACTCCCCATCTCCTGGTCTCTAGGCCAGTATCTGAACTCTTAAACCAAAGTGGACCTCAGTTCTAGAACAGTTTGTGTTTACATAGTCTAGAACTTCCTCTTCCTTCCAGATGCCGCCTCTGCCATTGTCTGTCACAGCATTTCAACAATGGTCACATTTATTTGCTACAACCAGCGAGATCTTCTGTGTACCATTTCTCCGTGAAACACCCAAGGCAGCTAATAATGCAGAAAGGTGAAGACTGAATAACTGTGTAAGTGAAACAAAAGGAATACAAACCCTCATACAACTGGCATTTGATAGGCCAGAAGAACCGATACTCAGCCACCTCGAAGTACCTACCCAGAGGGTGGGTGCACACAAGCACTCATTGCAGCAATTGGCAACCCCGGAAGGAGCCCTTGGGTCATGGGCGGCCCTGCCCGGGATTCTGCAGGCCTTTGTACAGCCAAATACAATATCCCAGCAAGGCGAGTGCATTAGGACTAGCTGGGACTCTGGCAGCAAGGGCCCCTAGTGCATACAGGATGGCGGAACGTGAGCAAGCAGCCTTTCCAGCAGAGAGGACGGTACCTGAGGACAGGTCGTAGAGCATGGCCACGGCAGTGATGAACTGGCAGCAGAATCGAGGGCTGGCGCTGAAGATGTGCTGGAGGGTCTGGACAGAGCCGGGTCCCAGGCTGCAATAGTCGTCCACCAGCGCCCGGGCTAGCTTCACGCAGTAGACGGCCGGGGTGCGCTGCAAGAGCGGGGCCAGGCCAGGGTCAGGGTGAGGCCGGCTGGGCGGCACGCCCGCCCTTCCCCGCCGCCTCCCGCCTCCCGGGGGCGCACCTGCAGCCAGGAGGCCACGCACTCGAGCACGGGCACCCGGCAGACGGCCACGGCCACGGAGACCAGCTTGCCCAGCAGCGCCATGCGGCTCTCGTCCGCCTTGTTGCCCTGCGGGGCGAAGAGCGCCGAGAAGACCACCTGCCGCACCGCCTCCTTGCTCTGCTCCTGGAAGTAGCCGCAGAGGGTCTCCAGCAGCTGCAGCTCCTGCACCGCCGTCAGCCTCTGCGGGAACAGCGGGGCGTCAGGCGCGCAGCTCCCCACGGAGCCCCTCGCCCGCCCGCCGGCCGGCCGGCCCGCCCACCTTGGGCTGCGCCCCGCCGCGCTCCTGCAGCGCTTGGAAGACGAACTCCTCCAGCAGCTCCACCGGGCCCGCGTCCCCGGCTGGAAGCGCCGCCGCGCTCTGCAGCTGCCCGCTGACCAGCACGTCCAGGTGGTAGAGCGCCTCCCTGGCGGCGCTCAGCGCGTCCCGGCGGAGCAGCGCGTGCCGGACCTCGCTCATGGCCGACCTCGCCGCCGCCGCCGCCGCGCTCCGTTGCCGACGGAGGCCCGGCCGGGCCAAAAAGGGCGGCGCTCCGCAGCGCCCCCTGCCGGCAGCGCCGCCCGCTCGCCGCCCGCTCACGTGCCTGGCCTGGCTGCGTGGTTGAGCGGGGAGCGGGGGCGGGGGGGGCATGCCAGCCCGGCGCCTCCGAGCCCCCCCCCCCGCCCGGCCTTCTTGTCCCTGCCGGGGACCCGCCCCCCGGGGATGTTGCCACGCTGGCCGGCTTGGCCCTGGAGCTGAGAAGCCGGCAGGTGCGCTTCAAGGCCCTCCGAGGCCAGGTGCGCCCCGAGGCCTTGATCCGGAGGACGGGGCATGGCGGGCCAGGAGGGCAGAAGAGGCCCGGCTCGAGTTGCTCCTTGAGAGGCTGCCCCTCTTCAGGTGGGCAGCGCAGCGCCCGTCCTCCGTTCCTCCGTCCCCCGCCCTGGCAGAAGACGCCCCTTCCTCCTCTTCAGACCGGCCTTTCCCCAGGGCTCCTGAAAGGACACCAACCCCCATGACCCGACGCAGCCGCCCCGTCGTGCCCTCTTTGGGTCCCGCCACCTTTGCCCGGGTCTTCCACGCGGCCCTTGGGCATCTGTGTCAAAGTGGTTGGCGTTGCAAGCAACGGCCTGGGTGCCCTGCCCGTCCGCCATGCACCATATCACTGCTGACGTGGTCAAGAAGGAACATGCCCAATGCCAACATCTGCTCAGATAAGACACAGAATAATCAGCTGCCAAGGCCAGGGGTCCAGCCTATTTAAGGGAGCCGGGAAATCTGCTACCCCACTAGCGGGACTGGAGCAGTGCAGGTAAGGAGCAGCTCTGTCCCTCCTGGAACAGGGGGGGCGGGGGGGGGAGGGAAATGTTCATTTCCCAGGTTGCTTTTAGCTCATTCCCTGCCTGGCTGAGATCTGGCTGAGATCCTTGTAACCGCCAAGCCCCAGGACAAGCCTTCCAAATTCTCCTCTGACTTTCCCCAGGGATGGTGAAGTGCCCTCCCCTGCCTCAAATGTAAGTTTCCAAATTCTGGTGAAGTGCCACCTCCTGCTATTGGCAAAGATTTTGTGGCATTTGTGGATACCTGAAGTCAAGGAGTATGGCAGATCATGCCCCTGTTGTAAGTTTACAGGTGAATCCCCTTTGCATTTGACTGATGGCCGAACACCCCTGCTGCAGAGCTTCATGCCACTACAAGTGTTGCACCCTGTTTGGATCATGTCCTATCAACGCTCCAGAAATGCTTCTTGGTTGCCCTGAAGTGGAAGGGCCGAGAGTGCAGGACCCAGCTGCCTCCTGGGGGCGCCAGTGTGGCGCCCTCCTTGCTCCCTTCTCTTCTCCAGGACGAGGCCATGAAGACCCTCTTGCTGGCGCTCCTTGGGGCGGCTTCCCTCTTGCAGCTCACCCTCTCCCTGAGAATTGGCGCTTTCAACATCAGGGCTTTGGGGGATAGAAAGGTCTCCAACCAGACCATCTCCAGCTTCATTGCCAGAGTGAGTCCCTCCAGCTGCCCAGGGGCGACTCTCCTCTGGCAGCCGCTCGTGCCCATTCCTGGCCCAGGAACCGCGTGCCTTGGGCGGAGCCCCAGCTGCCTCAGAGCTCGCCTGCCCCGCTCGGCCGCGTGGCGTCTCTCGCCCTGCTGACCCAGAGCTGCCTGCCCTCAGTGGCTGCGGACAGACAGGCTCCCCTGCTTTGTCCCTCCAGATACTGACTGCCTACGACCTTGTCCTGATCCAGGAAGTCCGAGACGCTGACCTGAGTGCCGTCAAGAAGCTCATGCAACTGGTCAATGGGTGAGTTTCATGGCGGCGGGGAGGGGGACAAAGCCCCTTTTGGAGGCAAAGCAGAGCGTGGAGCCCCCACCCTGCACACTCCAGCATAAGCCCAGGGAAGGAGGGCAAAGTCCTAGCGAACGCTTTTTCCTGGGGGGCGGATTTTTCCTTTGGGGAAAAGCAAGTCAGAATTCAGCAGGCCTAGTGGAGATGACCCCACCGCCCCCATCTTTCTTCACCAGGGCCTCGCCAGATCCCTTTGGCTACCTGATCAGCAATCCTCTGGGGCGCAACAGCTATAAGGAGCAGTACCTCTTCATTTACAGGTAGGACCCAGGCAGAAACATCTGGTGGGCAGCTGCCAAAGAGATTCTGAGGATTGTTGCCTCCCCTTTTGCTGCCAGTCAGTTTCTGGATCTCAGCAAGTCTCCTTTTGTTCACTATTCTCTGCATTCCACCCCCCTCTCTCTCTCTCTCTCTCACACACACACACACACACCAGGCTTTGAAGCCCTTTGCTGTTGTTGCTTTCTTTTGGATAGAGCAACTGTTTTTCAGCTTTGTTCTCAACGCCCTCGGGCATCCTTGTTGGAAAGATGAGAGATCAATAAAAATGAATGCCCGCTGTCCCTCTGCCCCTCTCCCTTCCCGCCCTTCTCCATCTGCCCCTCCAGCTTCGAGGGTCTGATCTTTAGCAGTGGGGGAGGACGAGCCGCCGAGGGGGAGACACTAGTGGCAGCTGATTCTCTTGGTCCAGGCAGGGCAGGGTCTCCCCAGTGAAGAGCTACTATTACCAAGACGGCTGTGAGCCCTGTGGCAACGACACCTTCAGCAGGGAGCCCTTCATTGTCAAATTTGCTGTCCCTCAATCAGGTGAGCAGCCCTGCTGGGCTTCTCAGGTGGCCTGTAAGCTTGGCAAGCCTGCTGTGGCTGGCCAGCGTCTTGGGACGGTTCAGTGCAGGCCAAGCAACTTCTGGGGGAGGGGCAGCCCACCCAGAAGTCCACAGGAAGCGCCCGGGAAAGGGAAGCATTTAGGCTGGGGGGGGAGTTGTCTCTTCTGCAAGCCACCTTCTCTGTTTGCCACCCACCCCCGCCCCCCAGTGGTGAAAGAACTGGTCCTGGTGCCCCTGCACGCAGCTCCTGAAGACGCAGTGACCGAGATTGACTCTCTCTACGACGTCTACCAGGATGTGAAAGACAGGTGGGGGACCACGGTAAGCGCCTCCCTTGGGGGGCTCCAGGGCCCCTCCCCTCCCCATTCAACACAAAGGTGGAGAGCTGTGGGCTGGTGGAACAGTTGCCTTCCCCCCAGAGCCAGGCAGACCCATCCTACTCTTTCCCCTGGCAGGATGCCCTCCTCCTGGGAGACTTCAATGCCGCCTGCAAGTACGTCCGGGCGGAGGACTGGCCCTCCATCCGCCTGCGCTCCAGCAAGGACTTCCAGTGGCTCATCCCAGACACGGCAGATACCACGGTGACCAACACCGCCTGTGCCTACGACAGGTGGGAGGCAGCGGGGCCGTTCTTTGTGGGGGAAGAGGGGGAGATGGCGGGCACCTCCCACGCAGGCAGCTGCTGCCTTCCGTCCTCGCCAGCTGGCCATGGCTGGGACTGACCAGTCTTATCCCCAGAGGCATCCCTGGAAAGGCCAGGAGCCCAGCAAGGACTTCCTTCCCCACCAACTGGCACAGTCCCAATTTAAAGCCTCAGTTCCCTTCGCAAAGCTTTCAGCTCTCCCTGAGCTTCCGGTCACCCTCGGGCTTCTTGTGCTCTTTTCCAACGGTGTCTGGCTACAGGATTGTGGCTGTGGGTTCAAAGCTTAGAGAGAACATCCTGCCTGCAACAGCCAAAGTGGACAACTTCCAGAAGACCCTGAAGTTGAGCTCCAAGGATGTGAGGGTTCCTTTGCAACCTCTGGGGGAGAAGAGAGAGGAGGGGTGAAACATCTGGCAGGGGTCAGGAGGGGTGGGCTGAACCTGCCTCCATCCTGGAACACTCCCGGGGCCTCTCTGACCCCAGGAGAAAAACCACTTTTGTGAGTTGAAGCGGTTTGAGGTCACGACTCCGGGCTCTGCTACAGCTACAAAAGAGGGCTGGAAGTTCCAAGCTTCTTCCAAGGTTCACCCCAAATCCTTGTTTTGAAGACACATTGTGGAAGGTTTGCTTTGCAGCCTGCGGTGGCCCATTCTTGGACTACCCTTTACACAGCAGCGCTGAGCCTGATCAAGAAATGTGGCCCCTGATCATCTGATGTGTGTTTGCCCTTGACAGGCCTTGGCTGTAAGTGATCATTTTCCGGTGGAGGTGACCCTGAAATCCACCTGAGCCCTCCAGGCCCAGGCAGCCAGTTCAAAGAAGCCGCTCTGATTCCCTTGGAGCCCAGCACAGCTCCCTCCCCAAGCCCAGGACACGGGCAATACCTCAGCAGGCTCTCTTTCTGACACAACGGAAGCTTAAATAATAAAAAGGTTAGCTGCATTCAAATGCTTTCATGGATTTGATGAGTGACAGAAGCTGCCAGGTGAGAAACTCACAGAGAACCAATGAGCACCTGGAGAGCATGAATGGCTCCCGGCTGCTGGAAAGGTGCTTCTGCGGGCCACCCCACCCCACCCCACCCCAGGGCAGTCAAGGGCCCATCCCTTGCAGCCAGAGCCCCCTTGTGGGCCCAGGAACTGTGCAGCCTGCCCAAAGGAGCTGTTCCACGCCCTGTGCTGAGGGGCTGCCTGCACCAGTCATGGCTGCCCCAGCTGCTCCTCAAACGTCCTCGCCCCTGGCAGCCCCGTGAGGAAGCCGAGCCCGGTCCTTGACCATGCCTCAGGTGGTGGGGAAGCTCCAGGCTGCTTTGGGCCAGTCCCAGGGGCCAAACTGGAGGTGCAACGCATGCTGGGTCCAGAGGTTGCGAACCATCTGGCCTTGCAGCAAACCAAGGGCTCTTCCCCAAGGCCACTCGCACCCTGTAGAGCAGCCAGGTGTGCAACGTGCAGCAGCCACAGCAGTTGAGAAGGATGGCCGCCCACTTCCAGCTGCTCCCACCAGTCAGGTGTACCATCCCCTCAGCCAGCCAGCATCCTCTCTGCTGCTTCTGGGCTTGTCCACTTGTCAGGCAAATGGGCATCTTAGCAACAAAGGCTGGACGCGCACATCATGGGAGGCCACAGCTGAGTTACTGCAATGCAAGGACAACCCACCATGACTGGGTTCACGTGAGACACTAACCACAAAGCAGCTGCATCGTGTGTGAAGGCAAAGGCGCTGTCTGGTTGGAGGTCTCCAAGCAGGCCCTGCTGAGCTCCCAAGGGTTCCCTGGAGCCCCTCAGGCACAGCTCTTTGGAACTGGGGGGCGGGGGGGGGGGCGGCCGCCTTGGTCCCCAAACTGTGCATCACTCTGCTTCGGATGCGGCCCCTTATCCCTGCCTGGGAAGAGTAAGCAGGGGGCTCTGCCCCTCCTATCCCCACTGGGCATTCACACTGCACTCCTGCCTCCACTGACCCCAAGGACAGACCCACAGGATGCCCCCCCCCCCTTTGCTTTCCAAGGCGGCTGTTCGAGTTGCTCTGCGGTCCCACCCCAGCCAGCTTCTTCTGCGGCTTGCTCAGCCCTTGGCAATGCTCCGGCTCAGCCTGATTCCCACATTCCATTCTAAAACTGGGAGAAGATTTCAACCCAATTTTAAAAGCTGAGTGACAGTTCTATAATTGAGAAGTCACCGGGCAAGCCCAGGATGGACTCAGCACTAAGGGCAAGGGGCGGCGAGTCTTCAGCTAAAATCCAGCGGGTAAAAGTGCTCCGTGCCCCGTGCCTAGCAAGTTCGACCTGCAAGAGTTGAGCAACAGCTTTATGTGGGAAGGGAGGAAGCGCAAGCCCTGCGCAACAACTTCTGCGGCTTTGATGAGCCAAGAGCTGCTGGGGCTTCCCAGGGTGCAGCTGGAGCATCCTCCGCACCCCTGCCAGGGCAGGGCCCTTGCATCACTGCAGCCGAGGGGCAGGTGGGGGGTGGGGTGGCGGAGGAGGAGGAGGAGGAGGCACCTCTCTTCTCCCCTTAATAACCGGCGGAGTTTCAAGCTGCGGGAGAAACCGGATACGCCAGGGCTCGGAGGGAGTCCAGAGGCTCTGCCAAGCCACCTTTGGACTCAATTCAAGGTAGGCACCTTCTTAGTGGAGGCCTTGGAGGCTCCCTGGCTCGGCCCCTGTGGGAGGGAATGGCCATTTCTCAGTTCTGGCTCCCTCTTCTTTGGGGGCCCCTTCAAGCACATGCACCCCTGGTTGGATTGGCACGAGAGTTTTGGAGCTCACAGCGACGAAACCTTGGAGCGGTTTGGCTAGCCAGCAGCTGGGCTGGTTCTAATGAACAATCAACACACTCACCGAAGGGGGAAATAACCCTCTGACCACCCTAACTACTTGCTCAGCCCTGGGGTGCTCTCCAGGCCATCCAAAGGCCAAGAGGGGAGCTGACAGCAAAGAGAAGCAGTGCCAGCAAGAAGTGCTCAGCCAGCCACTTTCCCTGGGTGGGTTGGGTGGGGAGGAACGGAGCACGGCTGCCCCAGAGGAACGGGGGAAATGAAACCAGGCAGGGCAGCAGAGCGGTCAACTTCAGCACGCATCCTTCACTATGCTACTCAACTGGTTGGTTTGGCATTTATTGTGAGTAATAAATACACCAAGTCAGGTGACCTCAGGCCCCAATTCAGTGAAATCTGCTGGGCTTCTTTGCTCTTCTCTGCTGGATCTCGAAAGAGGCCAGAGATGCTGTCTGGACAGCAGAGCAGGTGGGCAGGGGTCCCATGATCCAGGGCCACAAAGCAGAGCCCCAGGAATTGCCTAGGCGTTTCACTTGGGGCAGCTGCACATGGTTAGGCGAGCAAAGTTCCCAGTCTGCGTTCTCAGGAAATTCAGGAAGATCAGGGCTGACTTCCCAAAAGCCCCAGGGAACCCAGCGTTGCCCCCGTTCTTGCATCTCGTGGGTTGCACTGAGAACGCACCTGGAGTACAAAAATGGACAGAGCGACAGAGCCATTTGGGGGCCGTACAGTACAGTACAGCCCCACCACCGGTTGGCAGCACAGCTGACCATGAAGTCAAATTGCGGGCAGCCACTCTCCGCCTCGTCCACGCCCTCTTCTCTTTCCCCGCTTCAGGCAGCAGCATGAAAGTAGCAACTGCCCTCCTTGGGCTGGCCTGGATGCTCCATGCAGCAGTGGCCCTGCAAATCTGCGCCTTCAACATCCGGAGTTTTGGAGATAGAAAACTGTTGGACCAGAGTGTTTCTGAAATTATTGTGAAGGTGAGGGCAGGTAACTGTCCACAGGGTCAGGTGGCAGTTTGGCTCAGAAGCAGAGGAAGGTGACTTGTCAGCAACCACTAGGCATCCAAGCCAAGTGGAGCTTCTCTGCTTGGGCAATGGTGCTGAAAAGTAGATCGGGAAGAAGGGCCCTGCCAGAGGTCCTCCTGTGGCGGCGGCTGGCTCACATCTAGTTAGGGTGCCCTTCTGCCCACCTTTCTGGGCCAGCACCTGCCATGCACACCCAAGCTGTGCTCGTCCGTTTCAGATCCTGTCCCGGTACGACCTTGTCCTCGTGCAAGAGGTGAGGGATGCTGACCTCAGCGCAGTCCAGGAACTGGGAGAGCAACTCAACAGGTAATGAACGGGGTTGGAGTCAGCAGGACAAGGAGTGAGGCTTGTGATTGATTTCCTCCCTTGCCAAATGCACTCCTGGGGGCGAAATGGTGCCCACCTGGTTTACCCAGCAAGGACTAGACTGAAGGAACTCTGGGCAGGTCATGATCCCTGCCCAGGCTTGGGAAACACACCCAAAGTGCTGAGAGGGCCAGCCTGAAATGGAGGCGGGGTGTTGCTTGGTCGCTCTGTGCAGACCACAACCCTGGGGTTGGCGTACCCTGGTTCTTGTCTTGCAGGGCCTCCAGGCACTCTTACGACTACGTGATCAGTGAGTCGTTGGGCCGGGAGAACTACAAAGAGATGTATCTCTTCCTGTACAGGTAGGACTTGCAGGTGCCCTTCTCAGCAAGCGAGTGGGTGAATCAAGGATCATTTAATTCGGGATTCAGGGAAAGCTGATAAGGTTTCTCATTGTGGGAGCCGGCCGCTTTCCCCACTCCTGTCTTGGCTTCCCTTCCAGGACACAGAGCTTCTCTCTTGTGGACCAGTACCAGTATCCCAATCCCGACAGCATCTTCAGCAGGCCTCCGTTCATCGTGAAGTTCGCCACTTCTGACTCAAGTGAGTGAATCCAAAGGCTGGGCCAGCTTCATACCAGATTAAGAGTGGGCATTTCCTGCAGTCCAAGCCAGGGAACAAATCGGATCAAGGAAGGAATGCTCTGGGGAAACAGGCAGGAGGCCCAGGGTCCAAGACAACGGCCAGGAAAAGAGATCCACAAGGCAGCCGCTTTTTGTTTGTTTGTCAAACATGTACAAGATAGCAGGCATAAGTATAAACATAAACATGAAGAAAGGAAGTAAATACAGAGAATAGGAGTTGCGTAATGCGCGACCATTCTGACACACGGTCAGGGTCGCTTTGTAGGGTAGCAGCATTGTCACTGGTGTTAATGTAATGTCATCAGCAAAGCTGCTTTGAGTGTGATTGCACAGCAGGTAATTGATGTAAAGCCGAGTGAGTGTGGCTCCTTCCCAGCACAGCCCTCCTAAAGGCTTCAGGGCACGGATTCTGTTGTGCACCTGCCAATCCCATCCCATTCCCCGCCCCCCCCGGGGATAATCATGGGACCGGTGCCATTTGGAGCACTGACTTGGTTCTTTTGCAGAGAACGAGCTGGTACTGGTGCCCCTTCATACCCCTCCAAGTGAGGCTGTGGCAGAAATCGATGCTCTCTACGATGTCTATCTGAAGATGATTGACAGGTGGCAGACTGATGTAAGCAGAGGCCCTGCCGCTCGCTGTGTGAGTTGCAGGCAGGGAGGCCATTCTTCAGGACACCTTTGGATGAACCCCCTCACCTGCTTTCTCCAAACTGGCTTCCTCCAGAAGTGCAGCGAGTCACCGTCACTATCTGGAGGACGTCAGAGGAAGGAGGTTGGGTGTTGTCAGTGTTGCAGCAAAAGTAGCATCAGCCTTTACTGTCGCAATTGGAGAGCTGGGAGGGGAGAGGGCGGGGGGAGAGTCAGTCAGGACAACCAGCTGGCCACGCAGAGGCAGGGAGAGCCCCGACCTGGGCAGGTCCAGGAAACGCACGAGAAGCTAACCTCCATACCTTTCCCATAACCGGTTGCTTGGCAGAACATCATGTTCCTGGGGGACTTTAATGCCGATTGCAGCTATGTGGGGAAGAAAGACTGGAGCTCCATCCGTCTGCGCACCAGCGAGGTTTTCAAGTGGCTCATTTCAGATGACACAGACACCACCGTGGGCAACTCCGACTGTGCCTACGATAGGTGAGGGGGGCAGCAGCCCTTCACAAATGCTGAAGGAAACAGCTTTCCGGTACCCAGGACGACCGGGCATCAGAGCCCAATTGTCCCTGGACTTTTGCCACCTCCTCCTCCTCCTCCCCTCTGGCTCCCCAGAGACCTCCTTGTAAAAGGGGGCATCCCCAAGGAAAGCTCTCCTTCACTGGCATCATATTTGTACTTTTAGGATTGTTGTGAGCGGCTCAAAACTAAGGAAGTGGATTGTGCCCAAGTCTGCTAAAGTGTTTGACTTCCAGAGGGCATTCAAGCTGAGCCAAGAGGAGGTAAGTTTTCACCCTAGAAGCCCTGATAATTCTTCAAGTTGCCTAGCGTTCTAACTTAAGGCCTAGAAAGATACCATTCTATAACTAAGGCCTATTAATTAAAAACATTCCCTACCTCTTCTGTAGAGGAAAATAAACGTCCCCCATAAAAGGAAGCCAGGGATTTGAAGTATGCAATCACACCTATCCTGGGGTCCATCTCCTTCTGGGGGGTGGGGAGAGAATCACAAAGGCTCTTTTTGCACTTCCACCCAATGTGGACCCCTCAAATCAGGGATGCCGAGTCAGCAGCCCCCGGGTGTAGCTCTAAGCCCTGAATCACCCAAGCAGCCCTCTAGGTCTCTTTCGTGCTTGTGACTGCCACCTCAGACAGGGTCTCCAAGCAGCTGGGCAGCCAGGCTCCTAATGCTGAGCTCAGGAGGTCTCTGCCTGCGGTCCCCGAGCCCCAGCCAGCCTCCTTACACTATCCAGGGGGTACCCCTGACTCTCCCGCTTTGTTCTGATCCCAGGCTCTGGCTGTCAGTGATCATTTCCCAGTGGAAGTGGAGCTGACGTCCCCCTGAAGCTCTCAATTGCCAGGCTGCTTGGCCTGACAAGGGTGGGACGAAAAGGGATACCGGGCTTCTGGCAGGCACCAGCACCACACATCCTGCCTTGCAAGTCACCTCTAGATTTCCAGTGACTTGGATTTCTGCTGAGCCTTGACTGGGACCTGGGAACCTGAAGGAGCGGCTTCTTCAAAGTTTCTGAGCTGGAAACGCGCTTGGACTTCCGACACAACTGCTTCAGCTGAGTCCATCTTTCCCATCCTTCTTCTGCTGGGCCTCCCTCTCCTTCCCAGCCCCTGCTAAGCCAGAGGCAGGCAGAGGACACTAGAAAGGCTAGGCGGCCAGGTCTCCCTCCAGCCAACTGGACAGGCCTTGTCCTTCCATACCACAGGTGGGGGTCCAAATGGGGGCAACTGCGGTGTGTCCTTGTAACAGGCTGGAGTACAAACCCTTATTTGGCTGCAAAAGTCTTTTGAGAACTCTGAGACCGTAACGCTCAGCTTAACCTTCCTCATGTAGTGATGGGTTGTGCAACTATGTCTACAGCTTTTGGACAAACAGTGTAATAAAAAAATACTAACTCGGCAAAACAATTGAGTTCCATTTTTTAACAGACAGAGCCATCCATTCAGAACACAGCACAACTCAAAAGGAATCTCTGCTCAGGGCGGGGCGTACAGAACAAACAGTCACTTGGTAAGCTTCAAACTGCTCAGGGAAGGGAAACTCCCCCGCCCCACCCCACCCTTCCCCAGGTCCCCTAACTGATGAGAACAACCCCCATCCAAATAAAGTAGCTTGAGCAGCTCTTGAGAACACACAAGTCATCCCCAAAGGAGAAGCTGCTTTAGAGAACCAATCTCTAGATCTGGATTCCCCACCGACTGGGGAAAAAAAGACCAGTCAAACAGAAAATCACACACCATTTTACTCACGCAACCAGATGCCCCAATTGGTGGCCTGCCCCCACCCCAGGAACACCTCACAGCAGCTCCAATCCTGTGAAGCACAGGCAGTGGGGCGGCCAGAGCAGCCATGGTAGCCTTGCTCGCCTGGCAAAGATGGTTTAAAGAGATCCAGAGGCATCCCCACCCACCAGCAACGAAGTAAACAGTCTCTACCGTAAGGATTTATTGAAAACTGGCATTCCGCCTGTTTCCTACAAAGACAAAAGCTAAGCAGACCCAGGTGGCTTAGCTGCCTCCCTGCAACCCTTTCTAACCGCTCCAGCCACCAGCTGAGCCCTGCAATCCAAATTCCAGCAACAAACTAGGCAAAGGCCATTAAAGTCAGGCACCACACGTTCAGTCTACCAGGCCCAAGGACAGAAGGGGGCAACCGTGAGGCTCAAGCCCCAACAAGAGGAAAGGCTACCCCCACTCCTTTTCAGGCCTTCTTCTGTTTCAACATCTCCATGTACTTCTGGAGAGACTTCTGAATAGCATCCCTGGAAATAAAGCGCACAAAGTCCTGGATGTCAGCCTCCCGATGCATCAGCAGGTGGTCAAGAGTTTGCTTCCGTAGGGTGGACTTGGAGAGCTGTCGGGCGTGATCTAGGTGCAAGGATGGGAAGAGTGATGAAGAGGAGGGCTCCCCGAGGCAATTAGGTTCTCCTCGCACAAGCAAGGAGTGGGCTGGCCTCGAGTCCTGACCTCAAGCAGGAGACCGGGCCTGGGTGTCCCACCTGGAATGGCCAGCCACTGGCCCATGACTTCTGCAGCTCTGGCTAGAATCTTCTCTTCAGGCACCAACTCATCCACGAGGCCAATTTTGAGGGCTTCTTGAGGAGAATACAGGAGTCCCAGCTGGAGAGAGCGCTCGGTGGCCCTATGGCCAACAGTGTTCAGCAAAGAGTCCTTGAACCTGGGTGCAAAAGAGACATTCAGACGGTGTCCTCCAACTAGTTACTGGAGCCAAACCGAAGCTGGTCTGGCCTGAAAGGGTTGACAAGCCGGGAAAGATCCTACTGTCTGCACAGCTTCCTCCACACCTCACCAAAAAGGGGCCACTATGCCCAATCTTGTCTCATTCAGGCCAATGTTGTACTTGGGATTCTCAGCCATGATCCGGTAGTCACACGACAAGGCCACCAGGCAGCCTCCCGCGGGGCTGGAACCCTGCCAGGAACAGAGCTGAGTCGGTGCGGGCGGGGAGGGGTCCCTGCTTCACCATTCCTTGCCCCCACCCCGCCCCGCCCGAGTGCCTCGGAAGGCCCCCGGGGAAAGGGGAGCTCGGCGGCCGGGAGGCAGCCCACACGGAGCAGCGAGGGAAACCGCTTCCTGGGCGGGGGGAGCAGAATGGCTGCCGGTCAGGGGCGCAGCGGGCTCGGCAGCCTTTCCCGCAACTCGGGCGGCCCGGCGGCTTACGTTGATGGCGGCCACGGTGGCCAGGCGGCTGCCGTAGAGGAGGATCCAGAGCTGCTGCACGGCCCTCCAGAACTCGCCCAGGTGCTCCTCGCTCCGCCCGCACATCTCCGTGATGTCCAGCCCGGCCGAGAAGATCCCGGGGATGGCCTGCGGGGGGAAGGCGCTAGGGTCTCTCCCTCGGCCGACTGGCCGGCCACCCGCAACCGTCGCCCGGCCCGGCCCGACCTACCGAGGTGAAGACGAGGCCGCGGCAGGCCCGGCGGTCCTCCAGCTTCTGCAGCGCCAGGCAGAGCTCGGTCAGCAGCGCCAGGCTGAACCCGTTCACCGGCGGCTGCTGCAGCCGCACCACCGCCACGCCTGCGGGGAAGGCGCGTCAGAGGCCGCCGCAGGCCCGCCGCCCCGCTTACCCCCGCCCGCCCTACCCACCCGCGCGCTCGTCCAGCTCCACCAAAACCGGGCTGGCCCCGCTGATCCGGCGCCTCGGCCCCGCAGGGAAGGCCAGGCGAGTCAGCGGGCGCGGAAGGGCCCCGCCAGGCCCGGCCGCCCGGTCCACCAGCCGCACAACCAATCTCGCCGCCATCTTGCCCGTGGGCGGGAAGCCATCCGCCCGTGGGACGTCCCACCGAAAGGACGGGCAGCCGCGGCTTCTCGGGCGCTCCTGAGCATGCGTGCGACGCGACGCTCTCTGGTCATGTGCCCGTTGTTGCAATGTACTGTTACGCTAAACGTGGCAATGCTCAACCTTGTAAAAGTGATGGATGGACAATGGAATGTAGCCGTGTGATAAGGTGCTGGCTGTGTGGAAAAATACTGGCTGGAGAAACGAAAGTTATATGGAGAAACGAGAGTAATATGGGAGAAACGAAAGTTATGGAGATAAGAGTAACTGGGCGGGGCTAAGAAGTAGGAGCAATAAGATACCAGCTATGGCATAGGTTTGCATTAGCATAATTATGTAGAAAGCTTCTTTGTCTCTGCTATGACGTATGCATGTAGCCTATAAAAGGAATACCCACCATTATTAAAGTGCCTTTTCATCCCGAGTAAACACTGGTGCCGTGTGTTTATTTATTTACCGTGAGAGGCCCAGGGCTCTGACTTCAGACCCTGTCGTCGCCAGGAGGCAGGCAGTGAAAAGCCACAGCCCGTGACGCGTCTGCGCGCCGGGTCGCCGCGTTTATTTCCGGAAGTGCTGGGGCGGCGGGTGACGGGGCGCCAGGCGGGATGGAGATCACCCGGGGCAGTGAGTGGCGGGCCGGGGCGCGGGGCGCGGGGCGCGGGCGGCTTCCCGGTTGACCTTCGCTTTGTCCGCAGATTTCAAGAGCGCGCTGGGCACCGTCTACGAGGCCGTGGAAGACGCCGATTTCCTGGCCATCGACGGGGAGTTTTCAGGTACCGAGCCGCCCCCACCCCGAGCGGCCGGGCTCCCCCTCCCAGGCCACGAGCCCCCTCGCCCCGGCCGAGGCCTCAGGACTCGCTCTGCTTGCAGGCATCAGCGACGGGCCGTCCGTGAGCGCGCTGACCAACGGCTTCGACACGCCCGAGGAGCGGTACCAGAAGCTACGGAAGGTGAGTTGCTCCCGGCGGGAACGCTGTAAAACCCCTGGGCGCCCCCCCGGCCCCCGCCCCCCGTTTCTCTGAATCAATAACTGGTTGCTTAGAGTTTCTGCTCATTTCCACCCAGCATTCCATGGATTTCCTGCTCTTCCAGTTTGGTCTATGCACTTTTAAGTACGATCACACAGAATCTAAGTACGTCCTTTTCTGGTTTTTTAAAATTAAGTGTGTAGCATGATAACTTGTAAATTGATTTTCAACTGTGTTTTTTTTTAGGTATAACATGAAATCATTTAACTTCTATATTTTCCCCAAACCTTTGAACAGAACATCACCAGATGTCAAGTTTGTCTGTCAGGTACTTCCCTTTCTGATTCAAAACTAACAGAGAATCCAAAGGAAAATCTTCCACTACCAATCTTGCACAAATGCAGTGCTGCAAGCTGCATAATGTTTCATTTATCATTAAGAAGCTAGATTATAAATTATTAAAAAGATGTTTTTGTTAAAGTCAGAATGATCTTGTCAGTTTGAGAAAAGTTTCATAAACATGAAGTGGCTTCAGAGAGAAGTATTTTTTTTCTTTGCACTCTCCATACTTCAGTGTCACCCACAGATGTGGTTTCTAGCCTGATGTTGGAGAAAAGGTAAATTGCCCGGAAGTTCCTTGTGCCTTACTCAAGGCCAGCAGTTTGAATTTTATCTGGGAGATTGTAACTGGTTTGTCAAATGAATAAAATATATATAACCCACCATGAATTGGCATTTTTAGTGGTAAAAAATAATTTTATTAGATTGAAGTCATTTGTAGAATCATTTATAAATCTGTTTTCCTGTTTTTCTTCCAGAGCTCAAGTATAGATTTTTTAGCAAACCAGGGATTTGATTTTAATAAAGTTTTTCGAAATGGTAAGCTTTTTGTAAATATTTTAAAAGTAACTTTGCATTTCCATAGCTGTAGCTTTAACTTTTTTCTTTCCAGTATTGTGTGATCTGATCTCGAAGAAAGAAAATCATGATTCTGTAATTATTTGTGATTAAAGTTTAATCTCCATCACTGAGAATTCTCTCCTACCAAGAGAGTTAAAACTTCTATTCCAATGCATCTGGAGGATACTAGGATAGGAAAGGATGACTAGATGCCCAGATGTTTAAATTGGAACAGTTTTAAAACAGAACTTCACCCGAGTCTCTTCCACCCACTCATCCCCACCTTCCCCTGTTTTTAAGGTATCCCTTACTTAAATCAAGAAGAAGAAAGACAATTACGGGAGCAATATGACGAGAAGCGCTGTCAAGCCAATGGACTTGGGGGCTTGGATGCTGCTAAGCCTCCATCGGCTGTTCCTAAGGATCAGAAGGAGTTCATCAAGAAAGTTGTGTAAGTGAATATTTAGTCTGTGCTTGGAGAGAGGGACTCAGAACACCACTGGTAATTGTTGCATTTAGGTTTTCAATTATTTCCTGGGTCAGACAAAGTTTTGCCAGGAAAAGGAGTCACCTCCTGCTGCTGTCTGCCAGACTGGAAATAGATTTGATTTGCAGCTTGTCTCATGCAATGGAGAGGCTGATGGAGGCTGACCACCTCAGCACACTTCTCTGGAGCACTTTCAGCCAGAGAGGCCCTGCTTTGGGCTTTGGGCTCCCTCACGATCAGGGTATGGAGGTTTTAACAAGGGACAGGGCTTTCGCAGGTGTGGTGCCAACCAGGGGCTCTTCAGGAGGAGATGGTTACAAGGCCCATCCATCTGCATTGGCTTGCTTAGTGTCCATTGATGCTACATTTATGGGAATTCAGTGACGTTGGTCCTCATTGTTTTACCCATTGCCCCATTTACTTTGAATTTCGGAAAGTACTGACTTAAATAGTTATTTGCGATAATGTGCACAGTGTGGATCCAGCAAACGGTAAAACCTGCCAGCTCTCCCATGTTGGAGAACACAGGCCATTGTGCACTAGCAGGGGGACGATGGTTCTGCCTTGTCTGGGCTGTTTGCAGACGGTCCTCCCCATTGTGGGAAGAGGCCAACCCGAAAGAAGGCGCCTTCTGCTTCTCTCCCCTTTCCAGAGAAAGGATAGAAGATCTCCTGCAAAATGAAGGAAACGCCGCCGTGCAGCTGGAACCGTGCACTGGGTTTGTTCCTCTGGGTCTTGGGCAGAGCTTTGCGTAGAGGAGGCCGATTGGGCAGCCAAGAGGAGGGGAAATGGCAACCTTACTATCTTTCTCCTCTTCTCTTGTAGATTTCAGAGGAAACTAATCTATCAGACGCTGAGCTGGAAGTGAGTAGTGCTGGTTACTACAAGAAGAAGTAGCTGAAGCAGCCTTCTCCGCCTCTGGGGAGCCACAGCTGGGAGTGCTGCCCTCCTTGGAGGGCAAGCTCCCCGACTCCTGGGCAGTGTTGAGGCAGGGCTCCTGTTTTCCTTTCGGGCCTCTTTTTTCTTTTATGCACCAAGCATGGAGTTTACACTGATACTTGTGTTTCTGGTGTTATTGCCAAATGCGGCACTTTATTATTTTCTTTTCTGCAAACCTAAGGAGGTTTATTATTAATCCTTATTTTTAATTTCACCATAGATATCCAAAAGGCATCCATGTTGAAACCGTGGAAACAGAACAGGTGACTAGTTCTGCATTTTCCATTTCACACCTTGGTAGGACTGTGGGGTTTTCCAGGCATCACTAGGAGAGTTCTGGTGGGCAGATGGCAGCTGCTCCTTTGCTGGTCTGATCTGGGGCCAAGCCCTTACAAAAGCGAAACCTCCGGTGGGATGGCTCATGGATTTGCCTCCCGCTTCTGAACCTTGCAGCTGAGGAGCAATATGTTAAAAGTTGCTCTTCCTGGGCTGCTGCCCTCCAGATACGTTGGGGTGGGAACTTGCAGGATTCCCAGGCGGGGAAAACCACGTGAGAAAGTCAGATTGATTCTCCCTCCTCCTCCACCCAGGAATGTGATGCATGAAGCTGTGTAGGAGTGCTCGGTCATTGTGCTCTTGCTTGCTTGTGCCTGCATTAACCTTTGTGGCTCTTAGAAGGAGCGATACATGATCATCAGCAAAATGGATGAAGAGGAGCGCAAGAGAAGAGAGCAGGAGAAGCGAGCGAGAGAGCAGGCAGGTGCCTCTGATGCCGGGCAGGGACTGGCTGGCTGGGCTGGGGGCAGCCTCTCCGCTCCAGTCAGGGAGGCTGATTTGCAGGAATGCTGGGCTGAACTGGGCAAAGGACCTCACCCTGGGCTTCTCCCTTGTAGGAGGAGCTGAGGGATGCAGTGGGGTTTTCCAGAGTCATTCACGCCCTTGCAAATTCGGTACGTTGAAGTCATTAGGGAAAGTAGGCAGGCCATCGGCAGCTGAAGTTAGCCAGTCAGGCGTTCCCACACCCAGCGTAGTGTGGTGGTGAGGGAGAACATGCTCTGCCTCTCCCTGAGCATTGGGCTGGGTTGCTTCTCCCCAGGGCAAGCTGGTGGTCGGACACAACATGTTGCTGGACGTCATGCACACCATCCATCAGTTCTACTGCTCCCTCCCCGAGGTTGGTGGTTCCTTCCTTGCACTCAAACCTGCTTTCCCTCAATGCGTCCTTTGCAGGAAAGTCACCTCTTCCCTACTCGGTCCAGCAGAGACTCACCTGTCTGGGGCACACATAGACCGGTCATCCTGGGTGGAAGGTGGGGACCAGCACCTGTCCTGCGTCCAGTGAGAAAGATGCTCTGCCTCTAGTTGGTCCGGGAAGTCAACAGCTCCTCTCAGTAGTTGATAGCCAAAGTGGGACTGCTTCCCTTTGACGTTCCCTCTGCTTTTGCCTGGAAGCTTGCTAGGTTTCTTAACTTCCAAAACCTTCCAATTGGAGTTCTCTTAAGCTGGCAACCGCCTGTTGTATTTTGAAAACCCCGTATGCTTTGGAGGGCATCTTCAGTGTAACATCCATGTAATATTTTCTTTAGCATTGCAATATTTCCTTTTCTCAAATAAATTAGTATTGCATTGGTGCAGTTTACATTATCTCTTTTGGTCTCAACAATCTGATTCCGTTTAAATTTCAGGATTTCAGGGAGTTCAAAGAACTAGCAACATGCGTCTTTCCAAGGTAAGCCAGTTCGGTTCAGTTGTCTGTTCTCTCAGTGGCCCTCCAACTGTCCAAGGAGCCCCCCCCCCCCATTTCCCCTGGCAGAGGGTCCTCAGAGACCGTCCCTCTGCCTTCAAGGCTAAGAAGCATGGATGCCCACAAGCAGCTGAGATCTCCATTTGAACTTAGGAAGCCCCTGCTGATTCTTCATTGCAGCCATCTTATTTCAAGCCTGCCATCCCTTGTATGTTTTCCAGAATGTATAACTCTAAAATCTGTTTTACAGACTATTGGACACTAAATTGATGGCAAGCACTCAGCCATTCAAGGTAGGACATTTGCATTTCTTGATAGCGCCTGTGAAAGTAGTATTGTCATTAGCAAAGTTAATGAAGTGAAAAAGACGGATAAACAAGACTGTTTTGCAACGAAGATAACATGCCATTTATGCACCCAGTGAACTACCTTTTCCTGGCCACAGAATCCTATCCTCAGGAGGCATTGCTGCTTGCAAGAAGGCAAAACCGCTAAGCACAAACAAAAGCTAACCTTCCTTAAAATGCCTGGTTGTTGCTGTTGTTGTTGTTGTTGTTTGTGGCGGGGGAGACAAGAGTGCCTTGGAAGAAATCCCGAGTGTCACTTTCTGCCTTTAGCAGGAGCTCTTGGTGCCTCTGACATGGTCAGTCTTACCTGCTGCTCAGTTGGAGCAGTGCCCCCAGGGGCCTTTAACTGTTTTTGCTAATTAGAGTGAAGGCAAGAACAATGCTGCTGAACATGCCTTGGAAGTGATTTACATAGAGCTCACAAGTGGGAGTATATTTTGGTTAATTCCAAATGTTTTAAGACGTTGGTGAAACATTAGAAGAGGTTTCACCTTCTTCTCATGTTCTTGCTGTCAGTTGGTATTGATAATAGTGGCCCAATAGTGGCAAAATTAAAAGCTTCTGAGATGGTGCTGGTTTTAAGACTCTCAAACTCTGTTTTGACTTCTAAAAAGACTTTGCAACCACTGTGGCCTTTCCAGGGCGGCCAAGGTTTTGGGAAAGAGGGAGAACGCACTTGTACTGTGCTGACATCAGCCTGCAATCAGAGATGCCTCGTGTTCTCTCCTCAGGAAATCATTAAGAATACATCCCTGGCAGAGTTGGAAAAGCGCTTGAAGGAGACGCCCTTCAGCCCTCCAAGAGTTGGTAAGGAAACAGAGCAGCCGAAGAAATACGGCTTTGAGTAGGCGTGGCAAAAGAGCATTTAAAGGTGTGCTTTCACTTTGGTAGGGGGAAACTTATTGGATTCTCTCCAGCTGGCATTTCTGTGTACTGTTGATGGGCAATTTAGATCGGGGCTTCAGAAACACACAAAACGAGGGGCAATATTGAACTGTAGCGGGATGAAAAAGGCTGCAATTTATGCTACTGTTTCATCAGAGGCAGAATAAAGGCATTCTTGAGTCTGCTGGGATGGGGCCAGTAAAACAGTCCCTGGGAGGAAACTGGGTACCCCAAGCAGTCTCTGCACCCCTGCCTGGACTAAAGTGTCCCTCCTTCTGTCCAGGTGACTTTGAGTAAAAGCATCTTTTCCTTCCTCAGAAAGCGCCGAGGGGTTTCCCAGCTACAACACGGCATCAGAGCAGCTTCATGAAGCTGGTTATGATGCGTACATCACGGGCCTCTGCTTCATCTCCATGGCAAACTTCCTAGGTACTCTGGCCTTCTCCCATTGCACCAGAGCCTCCGCTCAGCTCATCGTAGTGATTTTTGTCCTATCTTTGCTCATTAGGTTCCTTTCTCAGCCCTCCCACCAATCATGTCTCTGCCCGTTCAAAGCTGATCGAGCCTTTTTTCAACAAGTAAGTAACAACCTCCTTGAAAACCACAATGCTGTTTTCTGAAATTCTGCTGTGGCTTTTTCAGTGAAGTTTATGTCGTAGTTTAAAGCTGGCATGTGGAGCAGTGCCAACGTGTTTGCTAGAGAGGTTTTCTTGCCCTGCCGTATAGTGCAAACTGCTGCCCTAGGCTGAGACCACGAGGGCCCAGCTTTTGGGAGGCTAGTGGCCCCTGGCTCTTGCCATGTAGTTCAGAGGTGCTCTTTTGCTAGCTTTTCATGGAGCTAGATAAGCAGAGGCAAAGAAATCTTTTTATTTTATTCTGCTTTTATTTATAAGAGCCCAGTATAATATCCAAGTGACTCTCTAACTTTTGCTTCAGATTATTTCTGATGAGGGTGATGGACATTCCATATCTCAATTTGCAGGGACCAGATTGTAAGTGTTTTTCCCCCATCTCAAAATGGAGGGATGGTTCACACCTTTTTGATTTTGCAGCAGCCTATGAGAAACATTTTCTCTCTTAATGGGGACTGAGCTGCAGAAAAGGGAAGAATCGACTGAAGGTTGGCAAGGAAAAGGTTGGGTAGGAAATGCGTGTGAGCCGATCCAAGTCTGCCTTCCCCAGAGGGAGGTTTGTGTATGGAAGCCCAGTGGGGAAAGTGTCACATTGATCTTCGCTGTTTGGCTCCTGGTGCGTCGGGGGGAGCGTGCAGCAGCTCTTACCAAAAATATAAATCACTTCCTAATATCCGGTTCTTCTGGTTTTGTAGTGCAGCCAAAACGTGATCACGTCCTTTATGTTACCTTTCCCAAAGACTGGAAGACAAGTGACCTTTACCAGCTTTTTAGTGCTTTCGGTAAGTAGACCCGTCTTTGGCAGAGGGGCGTCTGTGGGTGGAGGGGAGGTTGGCCAAAGGGAAGGCCAAAGGCAAAGGGTCCTGGCTTCGGTGGGCAGAGAGCGGGTGGGAGTGGGGTTTGCGAGGCCCCTTTGGCAGCACAGCTCAGCAAAGCCTCCGCCCCACCCTCCACGCGTCCCTGTGCTGCTCTTCCCTTCGGCCCTCCCTGCTCCAGGGCGAGAGCTGCCCCTGTCCGGGTGATGTCATCTTCACTATGCTTGGACAGATCTGATCAGAACAGAGTTTACATTCCCCTTCCAATTTTAGGAAACATTCATGTCTGTTGGATCGACGATACATCAGCATTTGTATCCCTGAGTCAGCCTGAACAAGTACAGATTGGTGAGTACCATCAAACCTTGAGAAGAACTGAGGTTCATGGCTGCTTATCTTTACTAAGCCTCTGCTAATAGTCTGACTGTGTAAAGCGGCTCCTTATATCTTTAGCCCTTTCTCCACTACTGCTCTTGTGGGGGGCTAACTTCCCTCTTCCTGGGGGCCTGCTGGGTGGGAGCGGCCCCATGCCAGCAGAGGAAAGGCATGGAAAAGAGGGACCAAGGAACACCGTCCCCTCAGCCCTTTGCAGGCCAAGCTCTGCTCTCCGTCCTGCCAGATCAGCAGCAGGAGAGCTGAGCACCTGGAGCAGGTGCGCTGCCTGGGCGTGATGGGCAGGCGTGCCCCCGCAGCGTCTGTCCAGGCGCCCATCCAGCTACCTTCCAGGAGGACCTGACCTCCTGTCCAGAGCAGGATCTGAAGGGTTCAGCCTGGAATGGCGGTTACGTGGCAGGGCTGCCTCGGACCAACAAGCGCTGAGTTCGTCTTGGTTGCTGCAGCAGGCACAGCCCTTGGCAGACGGACTGCAGGTGCCTTCCACTCCTTGGGGCATCGGCCCTTCCCTTTTCCTCCTCCTGCAACATCACTTTCAAAAAATCCTTGAGGTGATGGTTCACTTTGACAAAGCCTCACCTTTTCTAACCGCTGAAGTATCGTTTTGCTTCAAGGTTTCCTTGTCCCCAGAAGCTCGTTTGCCCAAAGGACACCCTGGCAGGGCAGCCGTGAGCTGGGCTTTCTTTGCCAAGAGCAAATGGAGGCAGGGTTGGCGGGGGAGGGGTTGTCATCCAAGGTGGTGCAAGTGAGCCGTCTACCTGGCTGGGCTCTTCCCAGGTGAGCGGGATCAAAGGCTGCTCTGCCTTTTGGTTTTGGGAAAGGCAAAGGCCTGTGGAGCATCTCCGAGAGAAAACAGAAGCCACCCAGAAATGAAACAGACAAGCGCCTCCCGGGGGGGGGGGGAGCTGCAGAGTCGCTGGGTGGCCTTGGGAGGCAGCGGGTGCCCCGTCAGCTGAGGGGGACTAGTTCTGCCGACTCACCCGGAGACCGCCTGGCAGAGGGAAGATTAGAGGACTGCAAGCGAGCGCTGAGGCCGGGGAGCCCTCGCCAGGGTCCTGGGTGCAGGGATCCGATCCCTAAGCGTGCACCTCTCCTGATCCTGAGGGTCCTGGCACGGAAGAGGAAAGGAAGAATGGATGACTTGATGAGCTTTGGGTGCTACTTTCTAACAAGCCATGCTCAGTCTTGTAGCTCCCAGGTGGGGAAAGAGACCCGTTGCTTGGGACGACTTTCTTTCTTGCATCTATCTGGAAGGCTGAGGACAATTTAAAAAAAACGAGCGAGGTCTCTGGCCAACACAGAGCTCGTCGTCCCCCGTTCCCCCCCCCCCAACCCCACCACACGCACAATTTGTACCAGTCCTCCCTTGAGTTTTCTGGTTATTTTCCTAGGAACAGGATATTGGTTTCCTTCACCAGCATCCCGGTTATGCTCTCCCGAATGTAGCCAGAGTGTCGTCCCCCCCCCCCCAAAAAGAGCTCCCCTGCTCCCTCCTTGGAAGAGGAAGGGGAGGGGCCATCCCTCCCTTCAGCTCTTTGGGCCAGGAAGATTGGAAGCCGTCCTGGAGAGGATTCCCCTCGGAGTGATTTCGTACTGAACTGTTTCCACAGCTGTTAACACCAGCAAGTATGCTGAAAGTTACCGGATTCAGACTTACGCAGAATATCATGAAAAGAAGGAGGAGGAGAGGAGGCAGGCGAAGAGGAAATGGGCAGAAGACAGTTGGAAGGAGATGGAAGTGAAACGCTTAAAGACGCAGGCCAGCCCCTTCGCGCTCCAGAGCCGCTGCTACAGCATTTGCAGGTGAGGCACGTTGGGGCACCGGCTGGTTCTGCACCAGGCGGGCTTCATGGGCAGGAGAGCAACTCCCGCAGCCAGAAACGGGCCCAGCCAGTTCAGCAGAAGAGAGTTAGCCCCGGCTGGGGAAGCAGGAAGCCCAGGCGCCTCCTGGGACTCAGGTGTTCAACCCGGGGAAAGAAGTTTGAGCCAGAAGGGCGGGGCCAGCCTCCCCTCTTCCTTTCCGAGTTTGAGAGGCCGGAGGAGTCTGGCTGTCTGGGTGCCAGGGGGCAGTGCGGTTGCCCCATGCGGGAACCAAGTCAGCCCTGTCCTGCTAACAGCCTAGGAGTTTGAACGTACAGGTGAAGAAGCAAGCGTGCTGCTCTGCCAGGATGACATTTCAAGGGCCAAACAGAAATTAGAAGCATTCATATATTGAACTGGCACAAGAAAGATGGCGGCAGTTGGGGCTTAGCCAGAGAGTAAGTGCTGATGGCAGGCCTACCGCTTCCAGGGAGACAGAAACATCTGCTTGGATGACCGGGGCCGGTGCAGATGACCAGTCCGGCTTGAAGAAGACCCAGTTTGGGCAGCTGTTCTGTGACACAAACCAGGATTGTGCAGGAGAACAGAACAGCTGGAGATGGCCTTAGGAAGGACGGCAGGGCAGGATTGTACTCCTCCTCCTTGCTTCAGGATGCTCCCTGGGAGCCCCCACAGACTAAAATGTCTCCCTTCTGGGCTTCTCCCATTACCCCAGTTTTTCAACGCCCAGCTCTGTGGGGAAGAGAAGCATGAGCCCCATCCAAGAGGAGAGCATCACAGATGACGTGGAGGAGGCCACGGTGCAAGAGGTAGACCTGCCCCCCCCAGGCTCCTTCCAGGAGCCCCCCGAAGAAGAGGAGAAGCAAGCCAAGAAGCTCAGGACGGGCGAAAGGGAAGAAACATTGGGTGGTAGGTGGTTTCTGCAGGGTGCTTGATCTGACAGCCGTGGGCGGCCTCAGTTCGTTTGCTGACCAGCAGGCCTAGAGGGAGGGAAAACTGTCAGTTTGTGGTTTTCTACATAATCTCAGAACTTTGAATGACCGATAAAAGAACGGGCAAAGGAGATCACTGCACCCCAGTTGTCGTCTTTATTTTGCCCAGCATTGGGGTACTCAAAGCACACCAAACGGAGCTGCTGAGGCTGCTCAGATGATTCAGCCCCATCCTCCCACCCAGCCACTCTCCACACTCCTTAACAATCAACCCAGGAGGAGGAGGAGTCTCCTTGGGGGAGCTGGGGAGGGGGGGGGGAGGGGGCCGGCACAAGACGATTGCTGGCCCGGGATTCATCCCAGCCAGCATGGACAGAGGCTTTGGCGTGAGAGGGTTGGGTCCTGTGTTTGCTCAGTTGTGTGGTTGTGCTGTGCTTCTTGTAGGGGGGCTCAAGGCCACTCCCACCAGGCTTTTTGATGTGCCGGACACGTGGTAGCTGCCAGGAGCACCAGTGAAAGGGCTTCCGTTCCAAGGAACCAGCGGCAGCACAGTCCTCCCAAGCCACCCTGAATGAAGAGAGGTGGCTGGTGCACAAAGGAGAGGCAGGGCGCTTCTTGGAAATCTGTTTTGTTGATCTCTACTGAACAATCACAGTCCCTGTTTTTATGTGTATGCATGTGTGTACATGTCCGTTCCCTTGATTATGTGAAGGCCTTTTGCTGTCATGTGTATTAGATCGAAAGGGCAAAGCCTGGGCTGGACCACCCACTCCTGTCGCCTGGCTGAGAAGCTTCCCAGAGTCTGTGTGCAGCTTGCTCTGCTCGCCCCCTTGATGTCCCCTGCAGCCATTCAGGCACATCAGTGGCCAGCCGGGCACTTCCCACCACGTCCTTCCCTGCCGTCTTTTGCAGTAGTAGAAGTGCATTTCCCCCCCCCTTTCCCTTTGGGAAAGAAAAGAGTCGTGAAGCTTCATATTAAGTTTGAGAACCGCATACTGTACCTGGAGGGGGGGGGGAGGGAGCCCCTCGGGCACCTTTTCCTTTGATTCGTGACTAGCATTCTATATTTAAACAGATAAAGATCAACCAGAGGCTTCACCAGCTTGTATTAGTTTGAAAAATCAATCTGCTTTGGTAGATTTCATAAACTTGGTTTGATATTTAACATTTTTGTATCGTGGAATGAAAAATGTTATTTCCTGACAGTGAAAAAATAAAGAATCTTTTTCTGAGGAATCGAACTCCGTTGATGTGTCTAAGGCCCTTCTCTCCTGCAGCCACATAAATCCTCCCCCTGGAGTGGCTTGTGGGCTTCTCTTTGCCTGAAAAGCAGCTGGCCCGGCTGCAGCAAAGGCCGCCCCACCCCACCAGCGGGGCTCCTCTTCCCCCCCCCCAAGGCTAATCATTGAAGGGAGGGGGCCAGGCATCCACTCTGGCTCCAGAGGGAGGACCTACAGTTGCTGGGGGTGCTGCAGCAGCCGGCTCGGCGGAGGGAGGCCGTTCTCCTTGGGGAAAGATAGTATCCCCAGCTCCTCCCTGCAGTTCCCACTTTCTGTTGCTGCTGGCAGAAGGAAAACGGGGAGCCAGCAAGCAAACGGGCTGTTCCTTTTCGCTGCTTCAGCGGCCTCACCTCTTCTCTAGCAGCCAGCTGTGGAAAGCTGTGGGCACCACTCGGTGTCACTGTCCGGAGCAATGTCCAGTAGGAGGGGAACCTGGGCAGGGCCAGTTCTTTGCCCTGTACCACCAGGGGTCAAGGGGACTGTCCCTTCTGCTGGGAGGCTCTTTTTCCCAGGGATAATCCCTTCCTCTTCAGCCTAGATAAGCTGAGTTGGACAGACAGGAATGGGTGTTAGTTGTGGGGTTACTCTGGCAGGCTCCCTGATGGCCAGAGTGGCCTGAGGGGTGCAGGGAGCCCACGAATGCTGCGCTTAGTCCCCATGCCCCGTCCTCAACCTTCACGCCTCTGACAAAGGATGGGAAGACTGGCTTTTTGGCAGCCCCGTTTAGCAGTGAATTGGGGGAGGAGGGAAGAGTCAGGAAGTCGTCCAAGGCCAAGTCTGAAGTCTGCCTGGTCCCTGGGAGGAAGTGTCCCTGGGTCAGCAGCTGCCCTGAAACAACGCAGTCCGCACACTCACTCCTTGGCCCAGCTTTGAGATACGGCAAGAGCAATAAGGATTTTCAGGGGCATTATGGTAGCATGGAAAAACACAGCTGCCCCCAAAAGTCCCTCATTTTCCCTGCGCAAAGAGCAACCGGGGGTTGGGGGCCCGCCTGCTCCCCCTCCCTCAGCTGACCTTCCAGCAGTTCCTGGTCAGACGATGCACGGGTGAGTTCTCCAGCCCCCCAGGACACAACCAGGCATGCCTCGCTCGGAAGCCCCTCCAGATCTCCAGAAGCTGCTCCCCCCCCCCCCCCGGGGCCCGGGCCCCGCCCCCGCCCCCCCCCACAAAGGCCTGTTTGTGGGGCCCCCCCCCCCCCCCCCCCCCCCCCCCCGCCAATTTCCCTAGGACAGCCTCCACTGGCTGGGACTCTGAGCTCTTTGAGCCCCCCCACCCCATAGAAGGCGGATGCCGACGGAGGGGCTGGGCTGCCCACCCCCCCTTCCTTCAGCCGCTTCCCTGGACTGCCCAGCAAATGTCGGGCATTTCCTCCAGCGCCCCCCAGCCTCGCGGTTGCCCTGGGCCGGAGCCCAGGCGCTCGCCCTCCCCTCGGCGCCCGAGAGCAGAAGGCGAGGCCGGAAGCGGGACTTTGTGGGCCAGTTGGGTACCAAGCAAGCTCATCTCGCCCCCAAAACCCCGACTCTGGATTCGCAGCCTCCCGGGGACGGGATTCCTCCTCCAACCGCAAAACCGGCCCCCGCGGCCTCCCGCAAGGCAAGCCCCCGCCCCGAGGGACAGCGGGGTCGCTCCCGCCCAAGGCAGCCCGGCCGGAGCGCCCTTTCTTTGCCCAGCCGGGCGCGTTCCGGCTGTCAGCCGCGGTTCTTCCCAGCTGGGAGCCCGCCGGCTCCTCCCGCCTGCGGCCGTTTCTCCGGACCCCCAGCCGGGTAACCCTGCCGTTAGGCGGGGACGGGGGCAGGCGCGATCTCCCGCTCATTTCGCTCTTTTTCGGCCCGGGAAAACAAGGGGGGAAAACGGGGCGTCCGCGAAATTGAGCGCGCTCAGCGAAACGTCCCGAGCAGCAGAGCTCACTGCGGGGTGGGGGCGGGGGGGAGAAGACAACGAAGCTCCCCGGGCGTTTGGACTGCAACTCCCAGAATTCCCAGGCTGGGAGGGGGCGGGGCCGCGCCAGGGCTGCGAAGCCTCGCTGAAGAGCCTCCCCCGGCTTTCCGCCCGCGGAACCCCTCGCCACAAGAGCAGCCCGGGACCCTGTGACGGCGAGCCCAGCCCAGGCGCACGGCTCCCTCGGGCGGGCACTTGCGGGAGGGGGGCTCCGGCGGGCAGCGGAGTTGAACCCGCGCGGACCACCCGTCCGGGCGCGCCGGGGCACTTACCGCTGCTCCGCTCGGACGGCGCTCCTCGCCCGCGGGGCAAAGTCTGCCTGGCAGGGGTGTAGCCGCGGAGAGGCTGGCCGGGAGGCTTCGCTGCGCCGAGAACAGTTTCCCCGCCCCGGGCAGGACAGCCCTTGAGGACTAGCCGCTTGGAAAGGAAGGCCTGTTCCTCCGCCCGCGGGGCAGCCGCTGGACGCAGCCGCAGGGATCCACAGACCGGAGGGCGGGGTGTGTGACTGCGGGGTGATAAGGGAGATAAGGCGGCCGCCCGTCCACTTTCCCGCGTGGGAAATGTCGACCGAGCTCCCGATGTCTCGAAGCGCGGACGGCTGCCCACTAGAAAATGGAAGGGGGTGCCCCTGACATGCGTGGGTAGAAGGGAAGGCTCCGCGGTCCTTAGCGCTGCACAAGAAATAAGTTCCCTTCCTTCCAGCGTAGCGAGGAAAGCTCCGTGTACACCTGCACGTGGGAACTGCCGCCGCCACCGCCCTAAAAATGAGCCCCTCTCATTCCTCCTGTCGCCCCCTTGCCGGGGTAGCCAAGGGGCAGCTGGAACTCGCGAGGCACGGACGGGGTTCGAACCCGTGATCTTCGGTTTACGAGACCGACGCCTTACCACTTGGCCACCGCGCCTGCGTTGAACGGGGTGCTTCGCTCCCATCTAGGCTGGCGGCGCTCCCGAGAACCGTGCGCGGATGCTCCCGCCCTGCTGCGCGAGACGCTCCGCCCTGAAGTGGGCTCCAAAGTGAGGGCAGGTCGAACTTCGCGGTGCCGCGCTGCGCAAACGCACGAAATGGGGCGGTTGGTTCTCCGTGCGCATGCGTTCCCGCCCCTTTGCCCCGGAGTCGGCCACGGAGGCCTGCCTTTGCCTGTCGCTCGTGGCTGGCCGGGAAGCGGCGGAGCCCGCGCGAGTCCCGAGGCCCAATTCCGGCCGAGGACCCCAGACCGCCGCGCGCCCGGAAGACACCCCCGGACTCGGCTGTCAAGCAAACGGTTTAATGGGCCCCGGCGCGGCCTCCCCGGGGCGGCCCTGCCCAGCGCCCCGCCGTCGCTTGTCCGGGCGCCGCGGGCCTCCTCTGCGGGGCTCCCCGGGCCGGCGCTCAAGGCGGGCCACCTGCGGCACCCGGCCGCCGCTCATGTCCAGGATGCGCTGCGGCAGCGCCCAGCACACCGTCTTGACGGCGGCCCCGCGGCGCTCCGGGGCCGGGCAGGCGTAGCAGAAGGGTCGGGCCGGCGGCGGCCCCCGTCGCTTCCCCGCGCCCGTCTCCACGCGGAGGCTCAGCCCGGCCCTCTGCCGCGGCCGCAGCGCCGCCTCCAGCCGCTTCTGCAAGCGCAGGTGGAGCTTCTCCCGGGCCAGGTCCAGCTGGAGGAAGAGGCTGGCCCGCGTGGGGGGCGCGTCCCGCCGGCTCCCCGCCGCCCGCAGGCCCACCGAGAGGGCGAGGGCCTCGCCGCGGGGCGCTCCTTCCCGGCCCTTCCGGCCGGCCCGGCCTTCCTTGAGCGCCACCGCTTCTTTTCCGTCCGCCTGGCCGCTGCACTGGGCTCCGGCCTCGCTTGCGCGGGCGGGCGGGCATCTCTGCGCGCTCCTGGCTCGCTCCGCTGCGGCTCTGTGTCCCTCGGCCTCGGCTGTCCCGCCCGGCTCTGCGAGCGCGTCCCCCTCCCTCGCTCCCTTCTCCCGGGACGGGGAGCGAGCCCTGTAATGCATCGTTGCTTCCAGCCCCGCCTGGCCGTCCCCGCCTTTTCTGCTTCCCGTGTCGGGGCCGGCGGCGTAGCGCAGCCTGCCTTCCAGCTCTGCCGCTCGGTCCGCATCTCTTGGCCTTCCTGCGCTTTTCTCGGGGGTCTCGGAGGGAGCCCGGTAGCAGATGGTCCCCTCCAGCTCTCCCTCTTCGTCGCCGTCTCTTTGGCCAGGCCCCTCCTCGGGGGACGGTGGGAGAGCCCTGTAGCGCATCGTTGTCTCCAGCTCCGCCTGTTGATGCTCCCCTTTTCTGCTTCCAGTCCCTGCTCTTGTCTGGGGGGGCGTGGACGCGTAGTGCATGGTCCCTTCCAGCTCTCCCTGCCTGTCTGCCTCCCGTCTGCTTGGCCCCCTTTCCAGGGAGGGTGGGACAGCCCTGTAGGGCAGCGGGCCTTCCGGCTCTTCCTGCTGGCCCCCACCTTTCTTGCCCCCTGCCTCTTTCGCAGCTGCCTTCTCTCCTTCCTGGAAGGGAGCCGGGAGATCTGTAGAGCAAGGCCGGTCTTGTAGCTCCGGCACGTTTGCTGCAGCTCTGAGAAGCGTCCTGGTTTTCCCATCCCCTGGGGCTTCTGGCTTGGTGCTGGGACTGCCTTTGCCAGCAGCTCCCTGGCTCTCAGGACAAGGCCTGGCAAGAGCCGCTTCACCTGGAGCTTCGGCTTCCACACGTTCCTGGGCGGGGGCATCCCTGAGAGGCCTTGCCAGGGACCGGGGAGGGGCTCCTCTGGCCTGTTTGGAAGGAGCGCTGGGAGCCAAGCAGCTCTGCTTCCAGAGGTCTGTGAACTGGACCTCCTGGGGCTCTTCTGCAGGAGCCAGGCGGGCTCGGTGGGGGGCCTGGAGCGGTGGGGGCTTTGGAATCAGGAGGATTTGCCCTGACTCAGCCCCCCCGGGGGACGAGGCCCCCTTCCTGGGAGACTTTAGGACCAGGATGGGAATGGGGGGCTTCTGAGGGACTCCCTGGGCGGCCTTTGACAGGCCCCGGGTAGCCTCTTCTTCCGTGGGTCTTGAGTGCGGGGTGGGGATTC